CTGTTTATCCACTGTCCCCAAACAAGAGACAGCAGAGGTGTCCTGTTTCCAACAAGAAGGAGGAAGAAACCTTTGGAGGATAACAAGCACCAAGTGGCTGTCACCTGCCAGCAGTTCGGGGTGCTCTAATGCCCCGAGTTTATTGGCAGCGCCAACCAGCACTACATCCTGACCCGCCCAACAAGTGCTGGAGGGGGCTGCACGGAACACAGCTTCCTTGGAGAGGCTAATGTGGAACCCCAGATTCCAGAAAGAGCAAATAAAAGTCACCAGATAGTCGCAGAAAGTTGACACCGTAAGAAAAAATGAACCAAATGTAACAAATAGGAAATGCAAATTTACCAACTATATGCCTTCCCTAGGATGAGTAAATGGATTTAAAAAAAAAGGAATAATGAATTGTCTTAAGAATAGTAAGAGAAACGGTCAAATCCTTGAAATACAAATAAGCTGTTTTTCCCTAAAGAGGGGACTTGTGGAGGAGGGGGAGAAAATTCAGTAAACAGGCTGAATAGGAGATACAGCTGAGTAATGGACACTGACTTCAAAGATTGAGCTGAGTAGTTCTCCTAGCATACAGTACAGAAGGACAAAGAAAAGGAAAGTAAGAAAAGTTTTAACTTTTTTATATAGTGATCAAAGCGGGATGTCAGGGAAGATAGTGGATTAGGAAGTACAGGAATCCATTGCTTCACCTAGACAAAAATTTTAGGGACAGAATCTGTCTGATGTAACTATGTTAAGACTCTGTAGTCTATTTGAAGATTTGCAGCTTTCAGGGTAATGCTTGGCCAGTATATCATGGCTAATTTCAGCCATTATCATGGTGGAGGTTACCCATCACCAACCTGCTAGACCTGTGGCAGGCAGCTCTACCAGCATTCCTAGATAGGCTTGCCAGGAGCAGGGTGAGTAGTGCTTGATGAATTTTGGTGTGTAGTATCGAAGGGGAATATGTGCAAATATGTGAAGAGGCTATTAAAATACTCCTGCCATTTTAAACTACATATCTACGTGGGGCTAGACTCTCCATATAGTTCAGTCAAAATAATGTATTGCAACAAGTTGAATGCAGAAGTAACTACAAGAGTCCAACTGTCTTCTTTCAGGCCACATAGGAAAGAGATTTGCAAACATGTAAAAGAGTGCCACTCTTTTCATTAAATATTTATTTGTTTTTAAAAATGTATTATTTAACAAAAAAGGTTATTCATGTTAACATCAAATGGATTTATTATTATTACTTCTAGTGAGTTAATAAATATTTTAGATACCTGTTTTCATTTCAAGCTTGATAAATACCGATATTGATTAACCTCAGAAACAAAAGCTATTTGGTGTTCCCAGTAATTTTTAAGAGTTTAATGCTGTTTGAAACTCAAAAAGTCTAAAAACTACTGTACTATATAGTGAAGATCACAGTAAGCATTCCCCACTTATGTACACGTTACTACTAGCTTTTTAGTGCCTGACTCTGAAGTATATGCTGACAGGCAGTGCTCACTAGATATTGAAGGAAATCAGACTAAGCATATAGTATGAAAAGTAAAAACCAATAATAATAGAGAAAAAGATTATTTATAGAAAGGAACATCTAAAATAAATTAGTATCAGCATCCCTATTAAAATAAAGGGTAATATTATATCCATTAAGCAAGAACAGGATGCTATTTTTTTTAAAAAAGAATATCCAGAGAGTGAAAAGAACAGTTTTTGGAAATTAATAATGAGAGAGTGATAATGGAAAACATAATAAAAGATTGGAAGATAAAATTGGACAATTCTTTCACAATCTAGAGCAAAAAGACCAAGAGATGAAAAAAAGAAAAGAGAAGAGAGAACTGTAGTTCAGTATCCAAAAATCAGAGTTCCCAGAAAAGGAACAGAGAAAAGAATGGTAGAAAATCATCAAAGAAATAATTTAAAAGATCTTTCCTGATTTAAGGTCCACTGAGCGTCCATCACGATGCATAGCAATGAATGCATACCAGCACACATCAATGTGAAATTTCAGAAGGAATATCCAAAAGCTTCCAGGAAGTAGAAAAAAAAAAAAGAAAAAAAGACTTCTATAAAGAATCAGGATTCATAATAGCATGGGATTTTTCAAGAAGGTAAAAGACAGTAGACCCACACTGTCACAATTCACTAGGAAAATTACCAGAATTCCGTACTCGGCCAAAGCATCAATCAAGTGTGAAAATAAAATAAAGGCATTTCCAGATATGCAAAGGTGTCAGGTACTTTACCCATCATGTACCTTTTCTCACATAAGAAGAATAAACCAAGGAAAAAGAAGATGTGAGATCCAGGAGAGTAGTGAAGGAAATCCCCAGGGTGGAGCTCCCAAGATTACTGAACAGAGGAAGTGAAAAACAACCTGTCTAGGTTGGAACAGGTCAGAAGGTTCTAGGAGAAATTCCCTTAAGAAGATGAAATGGTAGAATATCAGATATGTTTGAATGTATTATAAGGAGATTACATACGTGGATAAGAGTTTGGGGTTAAAATAATAAGCAGTGCAAAAAACCAAAAAACAAAAAAGAAGCAAACAAGCCAAATAATAGTCATTGAACCCAGGAAAAACAACGTACTGAGTATCTAAAGAATGAGTTAGGCTTCAAAGTGGTTGCCTCTGAAATCAGAAAATGGGAGTGGGAGTGCTTTTTCAAAAGCTACTGTTTTTCATAAACTTGGAAGAGTTATTTGACTCTTCAAAGATATGTAAGATAGGTGTATCTGTAAGTCTGATAAAAGTAAGGAAAGTTAAACAACAAAAAAAACGCCCGACTTCCTCCTCCCCTCCAACATTGCCTCTGGTCTTGCTGCCTTGGCCTCTGGGTTGTACTCAGCTACTCCAGGCCTCTGTGTTTGCTTTACGCCTGTCTACAACATTTTTCTCCAGGATACAAACATGGTTTGTTTATACTCCTCCTTTAGATCTCTGCCTTCACACTCCCCTCAGTAAATTCCTGCCCTCCTGAACCCCTTGATGCACTGAACTTTCAGCATCGCACTTGGTGTCATCTGGCGTTTCATTCTTTCCATTACTACGCTTTGTCTTTGCTTTTGTATCATGACCATCGCAAACAGCCTCGAATATAGGAAGGGTTTCAAAAAATATTTATTTAAATGAATGAATAGGACAATGTGCACTATTTTAAAATAAATTCACTGAAAAGGAAATACAAGTGGGTAACAAACATAAGTCATCAGTCTCAAAAGTTATCAGAAAAATGCAAATGAGAGGAATGGGATACTTTTTGTCTAGATTAATAAGAAATGAAAATATCCAGAATAATATCAGTGGCAAGAGTAGAAAAGTAAACTGGTAGTCTTTTGGAAAGCAACTCAATATGCAGATACTCACGTGGGGGACTTGAGAGGCAGGTGCAGGGACACTGCTGCAGCAGTACTGATGATAGCGAAAAATAAGAAACAGCCTACGTGCCTCTAAACGGAGGCAATGTTAAATTACAGAAGACATGTGTTTTTTAATAATAGACGGCAAGTATTAAAAAAAAAAGAGGAACGGCTATATGTTCTTTATCATGGTTTCATTTGTGTTTCACCAAAAAAAGCAAAGGCTAAATTTCTAGACTTACGATTATATATGAGATTTAAAGAGAAAATGCTAGAGAAAGAGCTAATAGCATACATCCTAGACGTCCATTTCCTTGATTTCTAGTTATTAATTTATTCATTTAATATCTGTTCCTTGAACTATAAGTAAGGAGTTGTGCCTACGTGCCACGAACAGAGGAGTGAGGGAAAAGCGCCTGCCCCTCCAGAGCTGGTATCCTGGCAGGAAGAAACAGACCATGAATAATAAACAAGCAGATGCATCATAGGTCAGGTGATGAAAAATTCTCTGAAGGAACGTGAAACGGGAAGAGAGATAGGAAGTACACAGCAAGATGAGAGGATTTATGCTATGTTAAGCTCTGCTGGAGCTTTCCGCAGTAATGGACAAATCCTGTGAATTTGCATTGTTCAGTACAGTAAACCACTAGTCTCATGCAGCTGTTGGAACTCTTGATATGTAGCTAGTGCAATTGAGGAATGGACTTTAAAATTCATTTCATTCAAATTAATTTAAATTTAAATTGCTACGTGTAGTTGATTGCTACTGGATTGCTCAGCACATTTATATGGAGTGGTCAGGGAACCTCCCCTCTCCCCTTTATGTAAAGCAACATTTGAGCTGGGACTTTTATGAAATGAGGGCACTAGCCGGGTGTTCCAGGCAGAATGAACAATCGGACCTTTTCTGGAGTAGTCGGAGGCCGGTAAGGCCAGAGCAGAACGGGCAAGGGTAAGAGTTGAAGGAGATGAAGCCAGAGAAACAGGAGGGGCCCTACTATGGATGGAGTGCCTTGGCAGCTAATACAAGGCTTTGCTTGTTTTCCGTGTGAGATGGGAAGCCATTTCAAAGCTTTGAGCAGACGAGTGTAGTGATTTGGATTTTTAAAGAGTTGCTGGAACTGTTCTGTTGATAAACAGTGGGGGTGAGGGCAAAAGCAGGGACAAAGTTAGGAGGTTCCTAACTACCCCGGGCTGGAGGTGATGGTGAATAAGTGGGCAGTGTTGGAGTGTAGAGTAGTAGTCTGATGAATTGATGATATTAACTGCTGGATAAGACAGGGACATGAGAGAAAAGGAGGAATCTAGGATGGACCTCAAGGTTTGGGAGCACAGAAGGAAGAGAACATTTGGGGAAGGAATTCAAGAGTTCTGTTGGGCATGGTGAGCTGGAGGTACCTGTAAATGGTTAAGCCAGTCCTGTCAGTGAGTGATGTTAAAATGAGAACCGCCGCCAGAGGCTTTCTTCCTAGAGAGCTGTGTAAGAATTCATAGATGGTGTTAGGGTAGCCCTCTTTATGTGAGGGGCAAAGCAAGTGACCTGTCATGAACCTTTTCAGCATAAAGATTTTACAAGCGTTTAAGTACATGTGGTTCTAAGATTTGGGTAATTATTTCTCATTTTATTTATTCCACAGAATGGCTCCTGAACGAGTAAGGTCCCTGTCACGAGTTTGTGTCCCACTTGTTACTCTGCCAGATTTTGAACCACTGGTGGAGGCTCTGCTCACCTACCATGGACAGGAACCTCAGGAATGCTCTGGCCTGAGTTCTTTGATGCTGTGAATGAGGCCTTTTTGCTGTAAGTCATGACCATTTACTTAATCATCCAACTTTGCTTTTCCTTTTCTTAGACTATGTCACTGTGTTGGAGACACAGTTTTCAAACATTTTGGTCTCGGTACCACTTTGCACTCCTAAATATTGAGGATCCCAATGAGCTTTTTTAAAAATATGGGTTCTATCTATCAATATTTACCATATTTGAAATGAAAACAAAAGTTTTAAAAATATTACTTCATTTTAAAGTAATAATAAATTGATTACATGTTAATATAAATAGCATTTTTTAATGAAAAAAATAATGACCTTTTCCAAGAAAAAACTGTCTAACAAGAGTGGCATTGTTTTCACATTTTTGCAAATCTCTGTATTATCTGACTTAATACAGCTGGGTTCTCATATATGTTTCTGCATTCAGTCTGGTACAATATGTTGTTTAGGTTGAGGTATATGAAGAAAATCTTTTGTTTGGTAAAACTGTAAGTAGAAGTTTGTACTTTCTGGTCAACAGCTTACCATTTTCTGCATCCCCCAGTCCCTGGGAACCATCAGTCTAGTCTCTTTCTACGAGTTCAACTTTTTTAGATTCCACATAAAGTAATACCGTATCTGTGCTCCTCTGTCTGACTGACTTCATTTAACGTAATGCCCTCAAGATCCATCCATGTTGTCACAACCTGTCACAGCAAGGGTTTCCTTCATTCTCATGGCTGAATAGTAGCCCATTGTGTGCATGTTACACACACAGACACACACACACACACACAGTTATTGAACAAAAGTTCACGTGCCTAGTGAGGCCAAACAAACTGAAACTTCGGAATTTGGAGCAGAGAGAGATTTATTGCTGGACCGAGCAAGAACAGGTGGCTCGGGCTTGAAACACCCAAACTCTCCAGTGGTTTTCAGGGGAGAGTTTTTATAGGCAAATTTGGAGTGAGGGCTGCAGGGTGTGGCTTCCTTCTGACTGGTTGGTGGTGAGGTAACAGGGCGGTGCTCCAGGGTTCTTGGACTCGTCCTGAAGCTACCGTCCTTCTGGGTGGGAGCCTTAGTTCCTGCAGCAGAACTCAAGGGTATTGTTATGTGTATTTCTTTTCTGTTCTTACTGCATTAGGTGAACTTTCTAGTATGAAATTCAAAAAGCATGGAGCAAGGGGACATCTTTGCCTTAGTGGGCAAAGTTTTGAGTTTCTTACTATTACGTAAGAAATTAGTTATAAAGCTTCTGTAGATATTCTGTCAATTTGAGGAAGTGCCTCTCCATTCCTAGTTTACTGAGAATTTTTGTATTGAATGGGTTTGGATTTTATCAAGTGCTTTTTCTGCATCTATTGATGTGATCATGTGAGTTTTCCTTTTTAGGCTGTTGATGTGATAAATTACATTGATTGCTTTTCAAAAGTTGGACCAGCCATGCATACCTGGGACAAATTCTACTTGATTGTGATGTTTAATTCTTTTTGTAGGTTGTTGGATTGTTTGCTAGTATTTTATTGAGATTTTTTGATCTGTGTTCGCCAGATACTGGTCTTTGTGTTTTCTTTTCTTGTAATGTCTTTGCTTTTGGTATTAGTGTAATTCTGGCCTCATGGAATGAGTTAGGAAGTATTCTCTCAGCTTCTATTCTCCACAAAAGATTGTAGAGAATTGATACAATTTCTTCCTTAAATGTTTAGTAGAATTCATCAGTGAATTCATCTAAGTTTGGTGCTGTCTGTTTCAAAGGATTATTAATTGTTTATTTAATTTCTTTTAAGAGATATAGGACTACTTATTTAGTCTATTTCTTCTTGTGTGAGTTTTGGCAGGTTGTGTCTTTCAAGAAATTGGTCCATTTTGTTTAGGTTATCAAATTTGTTGGCATAGAGTTGTTAGAGTACTCCTTTATTATTCTTTTGATACCTATAAGATCTGTAGTGATGTCTCCTTTTTCATTTCTAACATTAATAATCTGTGCCTCTGTCTTTTTTTTTTTTTCCTACTTTCCAGTTAGCCTGGCTAGTCGCTTATTTATTTTATTGGTCTTTTTGGCAACCAGCTTTTGGTTTCACTGATTTTCTGTATTGAATTCCTGTTTGTGGTTTTATTTCAGCTCTGATTCCTGTTTTTTCTTTACTGTGTATTGAATTTCTCCTTTTTCTAGTTACCTGAATTAGAAACTTAGATTATTCATTTTAGGTATTTCTTATTTTCTCAATATGTATTCAGTGCTATAAGTTTTCCTCTAAGCAGTGCTTTCACTGCATTCCACAAATTTTGGTAAGTTATGTTTTCATTTTCATTTAGCTCAAAATAATTTTAAATTTCTCTGAAGGTTTCTTCTTTGATTCATATGTTACTTGGAAGTGTGTTGTTAAATCTCCACATAATTTGGGATTTTCAAGTTATCCATTTGTTATTGATTTCTAATTTAATTCCACAGTGTCTGATGACAGACATTGTATGATTTCTATTCTTTTAAATTTGTGAAGGTATGTTTTATAGCCCAGAATATGGTCTATTTTGATGAATGTTCCATGTGAACTTAAAAAGAATATATATTCTGCTGGGATTGGATGAAGTAGTCTATAGATGGCAGTTATATCCAGCTGATTAACAGTTTGTTGCATTCAACTGTGTCCTTATGGATTTTCTGCCTGATGGATCCGTCCATTTCTGATAGATGGATGTTGAAGTCTCCAACTATGGTAATGAATTAATCTGTTTCTCTTCGCAGTTCTATTAATTTTACATTTTTGACGTAATTTGACATTCTGTTGTTAGGCACATACAAGTTAAGGATTGTTGTATCTTCTTGGAGAATTGACCCCTTTATCATTTTGTAATGAGCTTCTTTATTTCTGATAAGCTTCCTTGCTTTGAAGTCTGCTCTGTTTGAAATTAATACAGCTATTCCTGCTTCCTTTCGATTAGTGTTAGTATGGTATATTTTTTCCATCCATTTAGTTTTAATCCACATGTGTCTTTATATTTAACATTGGTTTCTTGTAGACAGGGTATATTTGGGTCTTTTGTTTTGATCCACTCTGTCAATCTCACTCTTTTAATTGTGCATTTAGACCATTGAGGCTCAAAGTAATTATTGTTATTGTTGGACTAATATCTATTATATGTATTACTGCTTTATATTTGTTACCCTTGTTATTTGTTCCTCTTTTTGTCTTCCACTCTTTTTCTGCCCTTCTTGGTTCTAATTGAGCATTTTATATGATCTCATTTTATCTCCTTTCTTAGTGTATTTGTTACCTGTTTAAAAAATCTTTTTGATTGCTGTAGAGTTTGCAGTATGCATCTACAGCTAATCCAAATTCACTTTCAGTTAAAACTATACCACTTCACAGGTAGTTGAATACCTCATAATAATAAAATAATCCTGATTCCTCCCTCTTGTCCCTTATGTCTTTGCTGCCACTCCACTGATTTCACATGTATGTGAGCATGCTTAAGCATATATATATATATACATAAATATTCATAATTGCATATGTTTTTCCTATCATTATTTTGAGCAAACTGTTATCTGTTACATCCACTAAGAATAGTAAAAATTAAGGTTTTAATTTTGTCTTCAGTTATTCCTTCCTCACAGCTCTTCGTGTAGTCCTGAGTTTCTGACCTATATTATTTTCCTTCTCTCTTAAGAACTTCTCTCAACATTCCTTCAAAGCATGTCTACTGGCAACAAATCTCAATTTTCATTTGTCTGAGAAAGCCTTTTTTCTTCTCCACTTTTGAAGGATAATTTCATAGGTACAGAATTTTAGATGGTGAGTCTTTTTCTCTCGGTACTTTAATATGTTTCATTTTACTCTCTTCTTGCATGCATGGTTCCTGAGAAGTTGGAAATAATCTTATTTTTGTTCCTCTGTTAAGATGTTTTCCCCTCTCTGACTTCTTTCAGGATTTTTCTTTACCTTTGTTTTTTTTTTTCTTTTTTTGGTAGTTTCAAAATGATATGCCTAGGCATAGGGTTTGGCATTTATCCTCTGTGTGTTCTCTGAGCTTCCTGGAATTGTAATTTGGTGTCTGACATTAATTTGGGAAAATTCTCAGTCATTATTGTTTCATGTATTTCTTCTGTTCCTTTCTCTCTTCTTCTTCTGTTACACTCATTACACATACGTTACAGCTTTTGTAGCTGTCCCACATCCCTTAGAAACTCTGTTCTGTTCTTTTCAGACTTCGTTATCTCTGCTTTCAGTTTTCAAGGTTTCCATTGACATGTCCTCTAGATCAGAGGTTCTCTCCTTACCGAGTCTACTAATAAGCCCATCAAAAGCATCCTTCCTTTCTGCTGCAGTGTTTTTTATCTGGCATTTATTTTAGGTTCTTCCTTAGTATTTCCATCTCTCTGCTTACACTGCTCATCTGTCCTTGCACGTTGTCCGCTTTATCCATTAGAGGCCTTAGTATATTCATCATGATTGTTTTTAATTTCTGTCCTGATAATTCCAACATCTCTGCCATGCCTGGTTCTGATTCTTGCTCTGTCTCTTCAAATTGTGGTTTTTTCCCTTTTGTTATAACTAGTCATTATTTTCTTAATAGCCCGACAAGATGTATTAAGTAAAAACAACTGCTGTAAATAGGCTTTTGGTAATGTGTCGAGGTGTGAGGGGAGGGAAAGTGTTCTGTAGTCTTACCATTAGGTCTCAGTCTTTTGGTGAGCTTGTGCCTCTGGGCTATGAACTTCCCAAGTGTTTCTCAGGTTTTTTCTTCCTTTTACATTCTTTTAGGATGCCTAGAGCTGGCTGGAAGTGGTTATTTGCCTTCCTGCAGGTCAGACTCTGATCATATCCCAGCAAGTTAGGCTGTGGCTAACTAGCTTCCCCCAAGGGCAGGCCTTACTAAGAACAGAGTGCTTTGCTGTATTTTTAAATGATTCCTTTCCCCCTCTTCCAGCCTAAAGCAGGAGTGGCTTTTTCTCCAATATTTACTGTGAGAACCTGGTTGGGGCTCCTGGAGGTCAATCTCACAGTCCTGAGGGGGCCTTCTCTCTGACAGAGTCCACCTGGAGGT